GCTTCGTGAAGCACCTATATTTTTAAGAGTGTAGGCGTAATTTGCGGGTGGGACGGGTGGGACATGTCCCCACCACTTTTTGCCAGAAAGTAATTGAAAAATATATTGCGGAAGGTATGTATTAAAGGGAAAACAAGATCAACAAATCATTCTTCATAATCTAATTAGGGTGATAAAAAACAACAACAACAACATTTGACTCGATTTGCAGCTGATTTGTAGCTGTCGCTTTTTTTGTAATGTCATTAGGCTATAGCATTTTATTTTAAAAATGGAGAGCTTCCTTGTGCTAAGTAGGCCTGCCCTCTATTAAAGATTGTTCTATTCAACTAGTCGCACTTTATATTAAATTGATTAATACAATAAAATATTAACCATACTTCAATATAGGCTAGGCAGACGTATTAGGCTAGAGCCTATTCCGCGCTCAAGCTCGCACATAAAGCAATTGCCTCAAAGCACCGGCAAAGTGATTATGAAATTTTATTATTCATATAAAAATTATAATAACCTGTTTTGGTTATATTTAATATTAATTGCAGAAGGTGCGCTCAGCCAAAATGACGCGAATATTGATGGTTTTCATGCTTAAGTAAAGTAAACCAGAGAAGGTGAACATGTTGGTATTCTTGTGTGGGGAAAAAACATGCAAGCACTGTCACCGGCAGCAAGTTTAGTTTGACTTTTCTTTTCTTTTTGTTTTGTTTTTATTTTGAAAAGCTTATCTTTGCTGTTTACCTCACCTTATGCTATGGAGGCTCTCTCTTTTTTCTTTTTTTTTGATTCCTCAGTGTTTGCTAAACGTTCTTTAATTTATTAGTCATTATATAGCCTAATACAGCGTGCAGGCCTATGCCATGCCTCATCTTATTCGTTTTTGTTAATAATGTTTTGTAAGCTATTCTGTCATTGAATCTTGCCGTTTTATTGTTATTGTGCATTTTAATTAAAAATAATGAATCCATCTTTTTAACATTTTTTTTGTCTTAAAAGGTGAAATGTGTATAGATGTAAGCAAAACAGACCATTATATTTTATTGTAAAACCTGACAAGATTGTGAAATCGAAAGTGAAAGCATCCGAAGCCTGGCTTATAACACAGCAAAAGAGGAACTCACGTTCACAAAATTCAACTCACAAATAATACTACTGATGAAAAAGAACGGGTTGAATGTTAACTACTTTCGTTTCCATATAACTATAAACTACGATACAAGTTAATCAGCGTGCATTGATTAATAGCATGTTGTAGCGCAATAAAAAATAAATAAAATGTGCTGGTGCAACCAACTGAGAAAGTTAATGCAAAAGAGCGAGCAGTGGGAAGAATGAGTCTAGAGCCCTGAATTGCCCAGCTCTCTGTCAATGATCTAGCACCCCCC